AGGCTGAATATTATCTCGCATTCTAGGAGAGAGAATAACTGCTCACAAAAATGGAGTGGATAACCAAAAAGTACACAAGCAACGGGACAGAGCTGGACATGGTATTTGCCACAAATTATCGAAAAGACTCACCATTATTACATCCTGGGCCAAAGTAAATTGTAGCATTCTTCATGTAGTGCAAATAAGCTGCATGCTCGACTCCGGAGAACTTGTTGCAGCTTTCCATTGTCATGACTCTGTAAATGTTTTGAATACAGGGATTGTCGAAGACGAAGCATGCAAATAAGGGACTAACGTCAAAGTATAGTTAATCGGAAGGATCTTTCTCTCCTTCAAATCTTTGGCACACATTTTGAGAATCTCCGGCTCATGTGCAATGTTGGGATTGTTTGGCTGTAGATGACCAATTCTCACGACTCCTCCGGATCCAGCCAGACGCTCGGCGTTGAGCCTGGCCGTCGTCGCCAATTGTCTCGCATCGGGCACCAGACAAGACAGGAGCAGTACCACGAACCGCACCTTGGCGCTAAAAGTTCGCATTCAAGTTGGCGAAAAAATTATTCACACTCCTCCCACCAGGAGCTTAATCGAACTTTTCACATGCAAAGAGATTGATGGGCTCGCCCCATATTTTTACCTCTAGATAAACAAATTATCGTGAAGAACGAAATTATGGACATCTTGACTTTTTTTTGGAAAGTAAACCTAATGTGCAGTATTTTCAAATCATATCCCACTTGTAGATCCAGTGAAGTCTCAAAGAACAAGCAAAGTTATTAGGCACTTAACACATTGACGACAAGGGACACACATGATGGGTCATACAATGACTGCAACGTGGGACAATGAGACCCACTGGTGGGTCATGGCTGAAATCATGTTAGAACGACTAGCTGCTTATAGAATTACTGTAGCTATGTAGCTATATATGTAGCTGACAAATCGCGCCTTCAAGCTGAAAATTCGCAACCTGTTTGTGGAAGGCATTGTCCCACTGGATGGACAGTTGAAAATACGCGTTGCCTTCAACGTGTTAAAATATATCTCAAAATAATACAAGATTACGAAAATAAGAATGTGCATTATTTGCCAGAGAAAGCCAGTTACTGATGAGAAAGGTGAGAGTGAAAGTCCCATTCCAGAAGTCGCTTTGTGTAATCGCACCGCTTTTGCATCCTCAGTAGCAGGCTGGTAACAGCAGAGTTACTATTATGATCAAAAAATCGAAGATTTTTGCGCAATAGAAGAGGGTCGCTTTTTTTGTTCATGGCAAGGACGAAC